ACAGAGAGAGCCCAGAGAGAGCCAGAGAGAGACAGAGAGATACCAGAGAGAGGACCAGGGAGGACCATGAGAGAGGACCAGGGAGACGACAGAGAGAGGACCAGACGAGAGACAGAGAGAGACCAGGATGGACCAGAGCGAGACCAGAGAGAGACCAGAGAGACAGGGAGAGACAGGAGATACCAGAGAGAGACCAGGAGAGGCCAGAGAGATACCAGAGGACGAGATCAGGGAAGAGCCAGAGAGAGGACCAGGGAAGAGACCAGAGAGTACCAGAGAGAGGACCAGGAGAGAGGCCAGAGAGAGACCAGAGAGTACCAGGAGAGAGGAACCAGGGGAGAGACCAGAGATTGAGACCAGGAGAAGAGACCCAGAGAGCAGACAGAGGATGGACCAGAGAGAGGCCAGAGAGAGACCAGAGAGATACCAGTGAGAGACCAGGGAGGACCAGAGAAGAGACCAGGAGAGGAGACTAGAGCGAGACCATAGAGGAAAGAGAGAGACCAGAAGAGATGACCAGAGAGAGACCAGAGAGAGACCAGGGAGAGGAGACCAGAGAGAGACCAGAGAGAGACCAGAGAGAGGACCAGAGAGAGCCAGAGAGAGACCAGAGAGGACCAGAGAGTGGAGACCAGAGAGAGACCAGAGAGACAAGAGAGAGACCAGAGACACGAGAGAGGACAAAGAGGAAAGTGAGGGAGAGAGACAGCTGGAGGACCAAGCGTTGTGGACTACGACCTGTCCCAAGTGGATCCCTGGACTACCTCACGACGGACCCCAGTTTGTGAGATCCAGGGACTTAGTGTCTGAGGTCCCTGAACCTGCAGTGTGGTCGGGCCCCCCAGGGGACTTCAGACACAAACACGGTCGGTTGTGTGTCCTCCAGTAAGTTTCTCAACGACTTGACATCATCGGACTCAGCTCCCGTGAGGACGATGACACAGAGTTACCAGAGGAGTTATACAGGGACTTTATCGTGGACGAGAACGGACCTATGGAGAATGAAACACCCTCCTCATCAACAGAAGACCATGGAGGTGAACCACCTCCTCATCACAGGGAAGCCCAGGAGATGACCCACTCCTCATCAACAGAAGGACCAAGGATGAACACCTCCTCAATCAACAGAAAGACCAAGGAGCTGAACCACCTCCTCATCAATCAGAAGACCATAGGGAGATGAACACCTCCTCATACAGAAGCCAAGGAGATGAAGCACCTCACTCTCAACAGAAGACCCAGGAGATGGAACCACCTTCTCTTAACAGAAGACCAAGGAGATGAACCACGCTTCCTCAATCACAGAAGACCAGGAGATGAACCACCTCCTCATCAAAGAAGACCAAGGGAAGAACCACCTCCTATCAACAGATGGACCAAGGAGAAGAACACCTCCTCATCACTAGAAGACCAAGGAGAATGAACCCTCCTCTCAACAGAAGACCAAGGAGCATGGAACCACCTTTCATCAACAGAAGCCAAGGAGAAGAACCACCTCCTCATCAACGTGTGGAAGACAAGGAGATGAACACCTCCTCATCAACGCGGGGACAAGACTAAGGGGATGAACCACCTCTCATCAACGCGGGGAAGTCTAGGCAGTTGAACCACCTCCTCATCACGTGAGGAAGACCAAGGAGGATGGTGGTGGTGGGTTTTTCGCAGACGTCACTTCAGCACGCTCCAGTCCAGTGAACTTGGGAACATCCAGGGACAAAGGGGACATCGAGAGAGTGAACTCATACAAGTACCTGGGATGTTCATCTGAACCACAAAACTGGACTCTGGAAGTCATAACCAGACGCCCTCCTCAAGAAGGGCCAGAGCCGCCGCTTACCTGCTGAGGAGGCTCAGGTCTTTTGGAGTGCAGGGGCACTCTGAAGTCCTTCTATGACTTCTGTGGTGGGAGTCTGTACGGTTGTGGTCTGCTGGAACAGCAGCATCACAGAAGGAGGGACAGGAAGAAAGTGACAAGGTTATCAGGAAGTCCAGCTCAGTCCTGGGCTGTTCCTGGACACAGTGCAGCAGGGTGGGGACAGGAGGTCCTGAGCAACTAACATCTATGCTGGACCATGTCTGTCGACCCCTTGCAGGACACTCTCTATGCTCTGGAGAGCAGCTTCAGTGACAGATAATTCACCCTCGCTGTGTGAAGGAGAGGTTGACAGTGCCTTCTTCCCTGATGCTGTCAGACTGTACAACGAGATTGGGCACAACAGAAACTGCTAAGCAGTCACTGATAGTTCACTATAACTTTGTCACTAGTCACTTTACTGTTATCAGTACTACTGTATTATTACAGATATGATAATTCTGCCTTTTCACCGTCAACTTTACCTGTGATATTTTTAACGTGGCTTATATGCCTCATATTCTATTCTCCGCTGATAAAGTACAAAATTATACATCGTGTAAATTACTCCTGAACCAAGTGCCAGTTATCGCCTCAAAGTTTATTTTATTCTTATCTTAATTTTATTGTTATTGTCTATAAACAATTAGACTATTAGAAGTGTGCTATCTGGAGTGCTCTGATGTTCCTCTCTTGTTTTTACTGTAATGTGCAATCGATTGACACTGACATTTCTCACTGTGAGACTAATAAAGGTTTTATTCATATCTCAGAGAGAGAGAGAGACAAGAGAGAGGAGAGCAGAGAGAGAGCCAGGGGAGAGAGACAGAGAGAGAGAGCAGAGAGAGAGACCAGAGAGAGAGCAGAGAGAGACAGAGAGAGAGACCCCCCAGGAAAGGGAGAGACCCCCCCCCCAGGGAGAGAGAGCAGAGAGAGAGCGTAGGAGAGAGAAACCCATGAGAGAGCCCAGGGAGAGAGAGCAGAGAGGAAGAGCGACCAGAGAGACGGAGACAAGAGAGAGAGACCAGAGAGGAGCAGAGTGAGAGGACCATGAGAGGCGAGAGACCAGAGAGAAAGACCAGAGAGTGAGACCAGAGAGAGCCGACAGGTAGAGAGACCAGGGAGCGAGTGCAGAGAGAGAGGCAGAGAGAGAGCAGAGAGAGAGAGCAGAGAGAGACAGAAGAGTGAGGGACAGGGAGAGAGAGCAGAGAGAGAGCAGAGAGAGAGACCAGGAGAGACCAGGGAGGAGAGGGCAGAGAGAAGACCAGAGAGAGAAAACCAGAGAGAGAGCAGAGAGAGGACAGAAGGAGAGAGACCAGAGAGAGAGACCAGGTAGAGAAGGCAGAGAGAGAGCAGAGATGAGCGCAGAGAGGAGAGGGAGAGCAGAGAGAGACAGAGAGAGAACCAGGAGAGAGAGCAGAGAGAGAGCAGAGGTTGAGAGCAGAAGAGAGAGCGAGAGAGAGAGCAGCAAGAGCGAGACCAGAGGTGACACACACACCCTCTCTCCCTGTGTGAAGGTTTTGGATCAGGTGTGTCACCTGCTGATCGACCCAGTGTGAGTTCATTTCCTTCATAACTTGAACAAAACAGCGTCTGTGTGAGAACAAAAGTTCAGACTTTTCCCTGAGCGCAGTTTCGGCCTATGGTTCTCCCTGGTCCCCCTCTCTCTCTTTCTCTCTGTCTCTCTCTCTGTCTTTGTCTCTCTCTCTGGTCTCTCTTCTGGACTCACTCTGGTCTCTCTACTCTGGTCTCTCACTGGTATCTCTCTGGACTCTCTCTGGTCTCTCTCCCTGGTCTCTCTCTGGTCTCTCTTGCTCTCTCTCTCTTGCTCTCTCTTGCTCTCTCTCGGCTTCTCTACTGGGTCTCTCTCTCTGGTCTCTTCTTGGTCTCTCTCTGCTCTCTCTATGGTTTCTTCTCTCTGGTCTTCTTCTCTGCTCTCTCTCCCTGGTCTCTCTTGGTCTCTCTCTCTGCTCTCTCTCTGCTCTCTCTCTGGTCTCTCTGCTGGTCTCTCTCTGCTCTCTCTCTCTGCTCTCTCTCTGCTCTCTCTCTGCTCTCGCTCCCTGGTCTCTCTTCCTGGGTCTCTCTCTCTGGTCTCTCTCTCTGGTCTTCTCTCTGGTTCTCTCTCTGCGTCTCTCTCTGCTCTCTCTCTGGTCTCTCTCTCTGGTCTCTCTCTCTGGTCTCTCTCTCTCTGCTCTCTCTCCTGGTCTCTCTCTTCCTCCCTTTTTCCCTTTCTTCTTGCTCTCTCTCTGCTCTCTCTCCTGGTCTCTCTCTTGTTCTCTCTCTCTGGTATCTCTCTGCTCTCTCTCTAGTCTCTCTATCTGCTCTCTCTCTCTGGACTCTCTGCCCTGGTCTTCTCTCTGCTCTCTTCTCTGGTCTCTCTCTCTCTCTGAGATAAGATGAACCTTTATTAGTCTCACAGTGGCAGCATGTCGTTTCATCGTTGCACATTACAGCAGAGAGAGGACATAAGCGCACTCAGATTGCACACTTCAAATAGTCTATAGTTTAAGACAATAGGACAATAAAATTAAGATAAGAATAAAATAAACTTTGGGCTATATGCACTTGGTCAGGGAGTATTTACAGCTGTATATATTGTACTTTAGCCGCGGAGAATATGAATATGAGCAGACATAAGCATCGTAAAAAATAATCACATGTAAAGTGACGGTGAGAAGGCAGAATTATCAGTTCTGTATTATTACAGTAGTACTGAAAACATGGTAAAGTGATAGTGACAATGTTATGTGAACTATCGTGGAATGATTGGCGTTCCTGTTGCACTTTTCTGTTGTACAGTCTGACAGCAGCAGGAAGAAGGACCTGTCAAACCTCTCCTTCACACAGCGAGGAGTGAATCTAGTCTGTCACTGAAGCTGCTCTCCAGCCATAGAGAGGTCCTCAGGGGGCGCCAGTCAGGTCCAGCATAGATGTTCGTTTGCCTCAGGACCTCCTGTCACCCACCTGCTGCACTGTGTCCAGTGGAACAGCCCAGGGACTGAGCGGACTTCCTGAAACCTTGTCCAGCTTCTTTCCTGTCCTCTCTGTGATTCTGCTGTTCCGCAGACACACCGTACAAGTGCTCCACCACAGGTGTCATTGAAAGGTTTAGCGAGTGGCCCCTGCTCTCCAAAAGACCTGAGCCTCCTCAGCAGGTAGCCGCGGCATCTGAGCCTTTCTTGAAGGGGGCGTCTGTGTTATGACTCCAGTCCAGTTTGTGTTCCAGATGAACACCCACGGTACTTGTAAGCGAGACCACTCTCTCGATGTCCTTTCCTGGATGTTCACTGGAGCTGGAGCGGGCAGAGTGACTGTCTGCGGAAAACCACCACCATCTCCTTGGGTCTTCCTCACGTGATGAGGAGGTGGTTCATTCTTAGTCTTCCCGCGTTGATGAGGGAGGTGGTTCATCTCCTTAGTATTCCCGCCGTTGATGAGGAGGTGGTCATCTTCCCTTGGTCTTCCTCACGTTGATGAGGAGGTGGTTCTTCTCCTTGGCCTTCTTTTGATGAGAAGGTTGGTTCATCTCCTTGGGTCTTCTGTTGATGAAGAGGAGGTTCCTCTCCTTGGACTTCTGTTGATGAGGAGGTGGGTTCTTCTCTTGGTCATCTGTTGAATGAGGAGGTGTTCTTCTCCTTGGTCTTCTGTTGATGAGGAGGTGGTTCATCTCCTTGGTCTTCTGTTGATGAGGAGGTGGTTCATCTCCTTGGTCTTCTGTTGATGAGAAGGTGGTTCATCCCTTGGTCTTCTGTTGATGAGGAGGTGGTTCATCCTCCTTGTTCTTCTGTTGAAGAGGAGGTGGTTCATACTCCTTGGTCTTCTGATGATGAGGAGGTGGTTCATCTCCTTGGTTTCTGTTGATGAGGAGGTGGTTCATCTCCTTGGTCTTCTGTTGATGAGGAGGTGGTTCATCTCCTGGTCTTCTGTTGATGAGGAGGTGGTTCACTCCTTTGGTCTTCTGTTGAATTGAGGAGGGGTTCATCTCCTTGGTCTATCTCGTCCACAAAGTCTGTATAACCTACCTCTGTATCTGTGTCATCGTCCTCGGAGCTGAGTCGATGATGGCAGAGTCGTTGGAGGAACTTCTGGAGGGACACAACCCGGACCGTGTTGTGTATGAAGTCCCAGGGGGCCCACACTGCAGGTCATGACCTCAGACACAAAGTCCCTGGTTCTCACACCCCCCCCCCCCCCCCCCCCCGAACTGGGGTCTGTCTGTGAGGTAGTCCGGATCCACTGGGGACAGGACGTAGTCCACAACGGCTGTCACAGCTTGTCTCTCTCCGGTCTCTATTTGGGTCTCTCTCTGGTGTCTTGGTCTCTCTTGGTCTCTCTGGACTCTTATGGTCTCTCTCTGTCCATCTCTGGTCTCTCTCTGGTCTCTCTCTGGTCTCTATTGGTCTCTCTCTGGTCTCTCTCTTGTTCTCTCACTGGTCTCTCTCTGGTCTCTCTCTGGTATTCTGGTCTCTCCTGTTTTCGTCTCTTCTCTTTCCTTTCCCCACCCCCCCCCCCCCCCTTCGATCACTCTCTGGTCTCTCCCTGTCTCTCTCTTGGTCTCTCCCTGGTCTCTCTATGGTATCTCTTGGTCTCTTCTGGCCTCTCTCTGGTAATCTCTGGTCTCTTCTGGTCTCTCCTGGTCTCTCTCTGGTCTTCCTGGTCCTCTCTCTGGTATCTCTCTGGTCTCTCTCTGGCCTCTCTCTGCGTCTCTCTCTGGTATCTCTCTGGATATCTCCCTGGTCTCTCTCTGGTCTCTCCCTTATCTCTCTCTGGTATCACTTGCTCTCTCTGGGTCTCTCTCTGGTATCTCTCTTGTCTCTCCCTGAGTCTCTATTGTTCTCTTGGTCTCTCTCTGGTTCCATCTCTGGTCTCTCTTGGTCTCTCTCTGGTCTCTCTCTGGTCCACCCTGGTCTCTCTATGTCTCTCCCGGTCTCTCTCTGGTATCTCTCTGGTGCTCTCTCTGGCCTCTCTCTGGTCTCTCTCTGGTATCTTCTCTCGGTCTCTCCCTGGTCTCTCTCTGGTTTCAGATTCTCTCTCTGGTTATCTCTAGGGTCTCTCTTGGTCTCTCTTGGTCTCTCTCTGGTCTCTCTTGGTATTCTCTGGTATCTTCTGGTCTCTCCTGGTCTCTATCTGGTCTCTCTCTAGTCTCTCCTGGTCTCTCTCTGGTCTCTCTCTGGTCTCTCTGGTCTCTGTCTGGTCTCTCTTTATGGTCACATCTCTGGTTTCTCCCTGGTCTCTCCTTGGTCTCTCTCTGTGTCTTCTCCTGGTCTCTTCTTTCTCTCCCTGGTTTCTCTCTGTCTCTCCCATGTCTCTCTCTGGGTATCTCTTGGTCTCTCTCTGGGTCTCTCTCTGGCTCTCTTGATCTCTCTGGTCTATCTCCCTGGTCTCTCTCTGGTCTCTCCTGATCTCTTCTGGTATCTCTCTGGTCTCTCTCTGTCTGTCTCTGGACTCTCTCTGGTCTTCACTCGGTATCTCTCTCAGTCTCCCTGGTCTCTCTTAGTCTCTTGGTTCTATGGTCTCTCTCTGGTCTCTCTGGTCTCTCTCTGGTCTATCTCTGGTCTCTTCTCTGGTCTTCTGGCTCTCTCTCTGGTATCTCCCTGGTCTCTCCCTGGTCTCTCTCTGTCTTTTCTGGTCTCTCTGGTCTTCTATGCGTCTCTCTCTGGTTTCTCCCTGGTCTCTCCCTGCGTCTCTCTCCTGGTCTCTCCCTGCGTATCTCTCTGGTTCTCTCTGGTCTTTCTGGTCTCTCTCTGGTCTCCCCTGGTCTCTCTCTGGTCTCTCTTGGTTCTCTCTCTGGTCTCTCCCTGGTCTCTCTCTGGCCTCTCCTCTGGTCTCTTCTGGTTCTCTCTGTCTCTGTGTGTGTGTCTCTCTTGGGTCTCTCCCTGGTCTCTCTCTGGTCTTCTCTGGTCTCTCTCTCAGTCTCACCCTGGTCTTCTGCTGGTCTCTCTCCCTTTTTTTTTTGGTCTTTCTCTGGTCTCTCCCTGGTCACTCGCTGGTCTCTCTCTGGTCTCTCCCTTGGTCTCTCTTGGTCTTTCTCTGGTCTTCCATGGTCTCTCTCCAGGTCTCTCTCTGGTTCTCTCCCTGTCTCTCCTGGTCTCTCTTGGGTCTCTGGTCTCTCTCTGTCTCTCTCTGGTCTCTGTCTGGTTCACCCTGGTCTCTCTCTGGTCTCTTTCTGGCCTCTCTCTGGTCTCTCTCTGGTTGGTGGAGGAGGCGGGTTGATGCACGAATGAAGCTTCCTTTCTTGTAAATTATCAGGCTTGATGAAGGGTGAGGATTGACAGATCTCGTTGCGGAGTGACTTCCTGAACTCGAAGGGATGGACTGGACTCAAATGGGACTGAATGGACTCGGAATGGACTGGACTGGACGACTGGCTTGAATGGAACTAGAATGGATGGACTTGACTAGGGTGGACTAGACTGGGACTCAGACGTAATGATACCTTTGATACAAGAAAGCCATGATACACCAGATACCACCTCAGAGTTGGAACAGTCTCAGACTCAGAGACGTCGCTTCATGGTCTCAGAGTTGGGAACAGTATCAGACTCAGAGAAGTCGCTTCATTATTGGTCTCAGAGTGGGGAACAGTCTCAGAATCAGAGAAGCTCGCTTCATGGTCTCAGAGTTGGAACAGTCTCAGACTCAGAGAAGTCGCTTCATGTCTCAGAGTTGGAAACCGTCTCAGACTTCAGCGAAGTCGACTTCATGGTCACAGAGTTAGAACTTGTCAGACTCATAGAAGTGCTTCATGTGTCAGAGTAGGAACAGTCTCAGACTCAGAGAAGGTCCACTTCATTGGTTCAGAGATGGAACAGTTTCTGACTAGAGAAGTCGCTTCATGGTCTCAGAGTTGGAACAGTCCTCGCCTCAGAGAAGTCGCTTCATGGTCTCAGAGTTGGAACAGTCTCAGACTAGAAAAGTCGCTTCATGGTTCAGATTTTAGACCAGTGTCAGACTCAGAGAAGTCGCTTCCTGGTCTCAAGTTGAAACAGTCTCGGAATCAGAGAGGTCGCTTCATGGTCTCAGAGTTGGGAACAGTCTCAGACTCAGAGAAGTCGATTCACTGGTCTCAGCGTTAGAACAGTGTCAGACTAGAGAACGTCGCTTCATGGTCTCAGAGTTAGAACAGTCTCAGGACTCAGTAGAAGTCGCTTATGGTCTCAGAGTTCGAACAGTTCAGACTCAGAGAAGTCGCTTCATGGTCTCAGAGTTAGAACAGTGTCAGGACTCAGAGAAGTCGCTTCCTTCCCTTCGATGGTCTCAGAAGTTGGAAACAGTCTCAGACTCAGAGAGTCGCTTGATGGGTCTCAGAGTTAGAACAGTTCTCAGACTCAGTGAAGTCGCTTCATGGTCTCAGGAGTTGGAACAGTCTCAGGGACTCAGAGAGTCGTTTCATGGTCTCAGAGGTGAACAGTGTCAGAACTCAGAGAAAGTCGTTCATGGTATAAGAGTTAGAACAGTCTCAGATCAGTGAAGTCGCGTCATGGTATAAGAGTTGGAACAGTCCAGACTCAGAGAAGTCGCTTCATGGTCTCAGAGTTAGAAACAGTCTCAGATAGGAGAAGTGCTTATTGGTCTCAGAGTTAGAAACAGTCTCAGACTCAGAAAAGTCGCTTTCATGGTTCAGAGTTGGAACGTCTCAGACTCAGAGAAGTCGCTTCATGGTCTCCGAGTTAGAACAGTCTCCAGACTCAAGAGAAGTCGCCTTCATGTCTCAGAGTTGGAACAGTTCTCAGACTCAGAGAAGTCGCTTAATGGTCTCGAGTTAGAAAAAAAAAAAACAGTTCAGACTCAGAGAAGAGCTTCATGGTCTCAGGAGTTGGAACAGTTCAGACTCAGAGAAGTCGCTTCATGTCTCAGAGTTGGAACAGTCTCAGACTCAGAGAAGTCGCTTCATGGTCTTCAGAGTTAGAACCGTTCTTCAGCTCAGGAAGTCGCTTATGGTCTCGAGTTGGAACAGTCTCAGACTCACAGTGGATCCTGAACTTGTTCCTCACAAATGTTCATTTTATTGAAATATGTGGAAAATCACTTGGTATCATGAACATGCAGTGGACTGGAATGGCTGGACTGGACTGGACTAGACTGGGCTGGATAGGCTGGGCAGCCTGGACTGCGCTGGGCTGGGCAGGACTGAACTGGGCTGGACTGGACTGGTGCTGGGCTGGACTTGGCCCTACACACACAAAAACACTATGCTCTGTTATGATTGTGTGTGGATGCGATTGTGTTGATATTGACTCTGTTAGAACCAGGGTCGAGCCATAACTAAAAAGTACCATGGAGCGGCTGAGGCGGAGTTGGTGAGAACCACCATCATCCCGGGACCAGGAGGATCCGTGTCTCTCTCTGGATGTTTATGATTCTAGTTCTTTGTGATTTTAATTGTTTCTTGTTTGGTTTGATTGTCTTCTGTATGAACTGGGTGCTACACAATTAAACTTGCCTAGCCCTTCCTGCTCCGCCACTGAGGAGTGTCGAGACAGGACACAAGACTCTAGACCTCTCTTGGTCTCTCTCTGGTCTCTCCCTGGTCTTTCCATGGTCTCTCTATGTCTCTCTCTGAGTATCTCCCTGTCTTTCCCTGGCTCTCTCTGGTTCACTTGGTCTCTCTCTGGTCTCTCCCTGGTCTTTCCCTGGTCCCTCTCTGGTCTCTCTTGGTCTCTCTAG